ATTAAAAAATTTAAATATTAAAAAAATTAGTAAAAATCTTCGCAAGCAAATTTGCCTGCATTACAATTTAAGGGATATGGTGGCAACTAATGCTTTTGGAATGGGTGTACATATTGCTGATATAAGAGTAATAATACATATAACATTTCCAATTTCAATTACAAATCTTGTACAAGAAATTGGCCGTGCTGCACATGATAGTAATCCTGGAAAATCTATAATATTCTATTTACGAAGTGATATTTGAAGATTAATTCTAATCAAAGCAAAAAATAAGAAAAGGTAAATAATTAGTTTGTATTAAGATACAAAAAAAAAAAATTCAATATAAATTTTATAATAAGATTACTGATAGGTGATTGATTTGCAGTTTTTCACAAGATGAAGATTTTGCAGCAACTATTTTTGAGTCATCTTATTGTTATCAAGATATTTAGGCCGTTTGAAGTTATAATTTCGTTTAACGTTCCTTTCGAAGCTTAAGCGCAGTGGGGGGAGGGGCCAAATTAAACAAACATTATATAACACCTAAAAAAACCACCATTATTATTGGTTGATTTGTAGTCACATGATTTATTGAAATCTTAAAGATGTAACAGATGTTCTGATTGGTGTTTAATTTCAGGGGGGAGCTATTGGAGGCAGTGGGGGAGAGAACGTTAAACAAAATTGTAACTTCAAACCGCCTTACACTTGTCGGCAAATATTGTACTATACATCTTTTAAATGGACTATAGATCTACCGATTCCTGACTGCGATACATATGATAATTGCATTAGATGATTTCAAGATAAAGCAGTACGAGTTAATATTTATAATGACTTGTTAGGAATGCTAAATGTAACAAAAAAGTTGTTGAGAATAGTTGCGGAGGAAAAGTTAATAAGTTTTGGAAGAGAGGAGTTAGTAGATGTTTTCTTAAAAGCTGAGAACAAAAACACAAAAGATAAAAACTTATCATTGTTTTGAAATGAGGAAGAAGATGCCTCAATAATTTCTACTCGAGATGCATGCTTTCACATGGTAGATAAGTTAATCGCTAAAGGGCTTATAAGGCAGAATATAATTATTGAACCTCTCCATTCTGGCTCTTCTATATTAACATATAGCTATAGTATAGTCTCTATTTCTGATAATGCGCAAGAGCAAATAGGTATGAATGAATGGTGCGAATTTGTAAAACCAAGTTCAAGGCAAAAAAGAGTGCGATAAAATAGAATTGGCTTACCTCCTGTTCATTTTTAGGCTAATAATAAAGAATTACCAATACATAGTAACGTAAATAGTTGTATATTGACAAAGTTAAAGTAATCAATATAAAAAATACCTTGTCTATTTACCATAATAAATTCAACTATAAAATAATAGTACAAATAAGATTATTTAGTAACCTAACGATCAAATTTGAGTTATTTTAATATTTGATTTCTCTCGTGGGAAGGAATTAAATAGAGCAAATGGGGTCTTTGCCTTGAAAATGACCTTACGGTATCATGTACCGTAAGGTCATTTTCAAGGCAAAAACCCCAAATGTTAAATCCGTTCACTCAATTAGAGATATCTTTGTATAAATGATATACAGTAATAAGAATTTTATGCAACAAATATGACATCTTATATCCTAGTGATCGGATCTAACCAATTTTTTCACCATTCATTTTTCTCAATAGTAAGAATCAAGTAATATAAAAATTGCTCGAATTTGATATAGGAGCATATAAGATATATTAATTCATTAAAATAATCCTTCGTCAAAGTACTTCAATCTTATAATTCGTATATATTTATTTAAATAAGTAATTATAACTTGCCAAAGAATATTATCATTAAAACAAATATAGACTATAAGAACCAACTCAGATTCATAAAACACCCAATCCGAACCTCAACTAATAAACTCTAAACTACTATACACTTTAACAGAATCGATCTATAATCACAAAGAAGTTGAATATTCGTTAGTCTTGAATACAAAAAATATACAAACTATTCAACTTATCTTGCATTAAATTTCCTCTCTAAACACCATATAAACTTGTCAGAAATTACAAGACTAAGTGGCTCTTTCGATAATTCGGTCTTATTTCAAATGATAATAAATGATCTTATTTCTGCAAAATCATCCTCATTATATAGACGAATCATAAGGTGAATGTGGGTATTATAACGAACAAGAGTAAATGGAAAATTGAACATATTATAAAAAAAACAGATTTTTTATGAAGCAAATGAATTTCATCCGCTAAATCCGCTAAGTAAAGTTTGCTCGAAATATCATTTTTCACTTACTCTCAAATTTTGGCATAATGAATAGGTTTTTTCATTATATGATTTGGAGCAGAAATTAATTTCTGCATCAACAAAAAAGGAAGCTATCCGTATTGCGTCAAATTTTGAGAGTAAGCGAAAGAAATATTTTGACCAATTTTACTTCATAAGTAAAAGCACATGAAAGAAATAGAACCGAAAAAAAAGACATACGTATGTTCACCATTTTACTCTCATGAAATCAAAAATCGTAGTCATCTAAGTAACATCGCAAGATATATATGAAGACCGATTTTTTACTTTTATTAGTAAGAAAGTGTTAATTTCGCCACATTCGCCTTATATATATAAATTTTGGCATAATTTGATTGGTTATTCGATCTTATCAGTTCTATCAGATATAATGAATTAGATAAACTACCAATAGATTTAATAAAGGTTTGGTCTGCAAATAACTGAGCAATTATTTGAGAAAATATTAACACACCTTTCATTTTTTATACATCCTGTAATAATTAACTGCGCCATATATTATTAAGTCATTGTTACTGTATTAGTTAATAATAATTCGATCATAATTATTAATAATTCGGTAACATACAAAACAATTTTGACAGATCGGTGTTCTTGCATATTGGCCTATTAGAAGTTTTTTTTTTTTTTATCGAATCCGGATTTGAATTTAGATTCGGTCCAGTATTTTTGGATCGGGTCCGGATCTTTCAAAATATTCATCTGTGCGGAACACTTAGCATCACGAAATCAAAAACTGCAAAAGCCGCCTATCTTGAGCCTGAAAGAATTAGTAGGCACAAACATGGCACTAAAAGAAAAAAAAAAAAACGAAATGAATTCTTAGTTGTACGCTCCAAGCTAGGAGACACTGACGACCAGGTAACGCCTCAGCACGAATGAATGACAGCAACTACGAAAGAGACTCAAAACTGGACAACACCAACAACGAAAGAACCCAGATAACATGCAAGCAACGAAAGAACGCCGAAACGGAAGACATCAACGAAAAAGCCTCATATAATGCACCTGCACAAGAGACCCCAAACTGGACGACACTAGCGACGACAACACCAACGACAAACAAAATAGTAAATAGACATATTTTAGTATTGTTGTTTATTCACATAAAATTTTTGTACATTAAGATTCCAGAATATCTAAAAGACAAAAGATTAGAGAAAAATTTTTCTTTATAAAAACTATTTAGATCCCAAATAAACTTATATGAAATTAAGGCATTAAAAATAGAATCTGCAAGTGGGTTATCGTCATCTGTGATAGTATTCCTTACCACTATGCTACAAAATTAAGAAAGAAATTCTCCTGGTTAGTTCTTATACCAGCCTGAATATAGATCACGGAACTAGTGTTCAAAGATAAGCCGGCTTATCACGGCTTGCTGCGGCTTAATGCGGCTTATCATGTGATAAATTCGAATT